GGAGTCGCTTGATTACGTTACCTCGGTGCGCGTGACGACCACAGGCTTCGGGAATGACGTCAGCGTCTGCGCCACGAACTCCGTCGAGGTCCAGACGTTCCACTTGGTGACGTCCTGGAAGGCGAAGGGAGTCAGAACGCGGGGGTTCGAATGCAGGGAGGAATGCGTTTGTTCGTCGACCTCTGTGTCTCTCTTTATGTGTGTGTATTTATATGGATGTATGCTGAGATATACGATAGGATTTTCATTGTATAGTATCTTCTAGATGCTATTTGCACAGGACGAGATAGTGTACATGAGTTAGTTTTTTATCATATATATATATATATATATATACATATATATATGTAAGGATTTGCATAATGCATTATTATGTATATTATTCAACTCCGAGTCTTTCATTAACTGCGCTTCTCATTAAACATCCATATAAGTATATACATGCTAATATGATACTTACACTATTAATGTTGTTTGAAAATGTTAGATCTTTGCCACGTTGACATATAATCTAATTTTACACTTTGCAAGAATCATACATCTAAAATGAAAGTCAAAAAAACATTCCAAAGTAACGAATAACTTAACGCAAATAATAAATCACCTTTTTATTCAATTTCTATTCGCTTAAAGAAATTTTGGACCGTAGTCCCTCCATCAGCATTATCACTCATTACCAAGTTCAGTTTTTCCTCTCTCCCGCGCCTATTTTCCTTCATTCCAGCCTTAAAGAACGAAAAAAAAGTTATATGGTGGACTTTTTGGAGAGCCTTTTTTCCGCGGGATTTTAAGCCTCTTATCTGGAAAATGGATTCTTTGGGGAGCGCGAAATCTCATCGGGCTGAAAGACCTCGCGTTCAATAGCGTGTCAACATGCCGCTGAACGCTTTCGCTCGAAGATAAATATGATAAATGATAAACATGTCGAAAGCACGCGAGATACAGACGTCTTGGCCAGCCCCCTTGTTCCGCAGTGAACGGAGACGATGTTTATATTCATTCGAGGCAACACACAGGGTCGGCAATCTGTTCACCGAGCGAAATGCGTCACGATTAGCGTCTGTTCACGGCGGGAGCAAGAAAATAACGATAAATCTCATCCCCTCGTCGGCAAATCGGGGAGAAGTTGCTGAACCAGGGCAGCGTCGGGTTTCGGCTGAAGTCCTCACCTGGGATATCGTTGTCGGGACGAGGAGGGTGCGGGTGTTGTAGACGAGGGAGGGGACGACCTGCGTGGAGGTGAGGGTGACGAAGTGGGTCTTGGGGAAGCAGATGGGCAGGTCGTCCATATTCTTCATGGGCTTGGGGGAGGAGGGGACCAGGGGGAGTGGGGAGGGGGTGAGGTTGGGGGGGCATAGGCCTGGCTGAGGGAGCTGACGTCCGGGGCGCCCAGGGTCGACGCCCAAACACAGGCTAGTGTTAAGATGTATTTGATCATCCTGCGGGCGAGAGAAAGAAAATCATTAGAAAAAGATCTCGCAATCAAAATAAATAAAAAATAGACATTCGGAAATTAAGCATGAGTGCGAGACTGTAGGTACTTTTTGAAAAAAAATACGAAAAGAGAAAGAAAATATATTACAAAATATTGACATTTAGGATATCATTTAAAAAAAATGGGAAATAAGTATATAGAAAGAAAGGAGAGGGGTGGGGAAGAGAAAAAAATGCTAAGAAAATAATGGGAGAGAGAGAGAGAGAGAAACTAAACATTAGAAAAAGGATGCATAATCGAAATATTTCAAAGAACATTTTGGAAGAAGGAGAATAGAGAAGGATAGGAGAAGTGAGAAAGAAAATAAATGACGTTAGGGAAACGATGAACAGACGAAAGACTTAAGCGCTTATTGTATGAGAAAATGAGAAAGGGAGAAAAGAACAGAGGGCGAGGGGAAGAACGGAGGAAGTAACAAAGGCGTAAAAGATAGAAGAGGAAATTGACGATAAAGGGAATGAAGTCACAATCATTAAGAGCAAAATTGGCCGCGCGTCAGCAAATGTGTCACAAAAAGATTACCAGAAAAAAAACTATTGTAAGATCTTTTTTCGTCACAAGGGGCTGACGTGTGACATTTTTTTTTAAGTTGGGAAAAAATCTATTGGTAACTCGATAGATATCAGCATGAGGCTTGATTTGCGCTTAATAGGATTAATCGAATTTGTGCCATAATTTGATTATTGTGTTTATGGACCACTGAATGATTCAGCAGAAGTTATCTGTGCTTGTATGAGAGAGAAGAGAGAGAGAGAGAGAGAGAGAGAGAGAGAGAGAGAGAGAGAGAGAGAGAGAGAGAGAGAGAGAGAGAGAGAGAGAGAGAGAGAGAGAGAGAGAGAGAGAGAGAGAGAGAGAGAGAGAGAGAGAGAGAGAGAGAGAGAGAGAGAGAGAGAGAAAGAGAAAGAGAGAAATAAATAAATAGAGAGAGAGAGAGAGAGAGAGAGAGAGAGAGAGAGAGAGACACACAGTGAAAATGAAGGAGAAAAGAGGTAAAAAATAATTGGG